TTCAAGGACATTGTCAGGGTCATGGTTTGGTCTCCCCTCGACATCCAACAATTTTTCTCACAAACACTATCCGGGAAAAATCAAGATTTTTTTACTTTTTGCTTTGATTAGGAATTTGTCTTTCAAATGACCTCTATGGTCAACTTTGACCCATAACATGAAAGTTCATCTGGACGTAAAATATTGCGCTCTTTCAAAATCCGGGATCAAAAATATGAGTTTCTATTTGAAAATTGAAAGTAGACCTTCAAATAACCTTGAAAATGAAGGTCAAGGTCATTGTCAAGGTCATAGTTCAATCAGCCCCTTCATATCCAACAATTTTTGTTTTAAACATTTTTTTATTTAATCGCGATGTTTATTTAATTGCGATGTTTCGAGTTATTTGGCTATCTAAGCTAAAATGGGTCACCCTGTATATCTGAGATGACAGCTGTACGAGCCAAAAGTAAGCGAATTTTTAACGAATTTGAAACTTTTTTCGATTTTTCATGAAATCCAGTGCAGCTGAGGTCCTGTTTGTGCATACTTTAATTTAAGTAATAATACTTTTGCAATCCATACATCCAATACGGAGATTTTTCACCGAATGGAAATATGGTAAAACAGGAGGCTTTAGCATCGCCTTAACTCCGTACTCTTCCCTCCACGAACTTGCGCCCGTCGGTGGGAAAGGAGGCTCCTCCCATTTGTCCCCGTCATCTTCCTTTTCTCCGGGGGGAGGAAACAAACCCGTCACCTCCTCCAATACATGTGCCTCAAGGGACTCTGTAAGGCGGAGCCCATCTCCTCAATTTACTCAGTACCGTCTGGTACGGGCAGCTCCATGGGTCCTCATTCAACGAGAGCACGAATTCCTCCAAGGCCTTTTCCTTAGCCTTGGTGATGGTCTTCCCAAGGCTACTCCGGGCTTGCCTGAGCTCTGCCATCCTCATGTCCACTTCTTTATCGTCCTGCTTGGCTCGACGGCGTGTTCGCTTGAGCCGGCGCCTAGCGGCCGACACCTTCGCCCTAAGTTGGGCCAGTTCCTACGTCCACCAAGGCATTGCTCTTCTTGGACACGGCACAGCCCTAGACATTGACGCAACGCATGCCCAAATCATAAGCGCCTGCAGTTGGGCAGCTTCCAACTCCAGGTCCCAGTCCTCAACGGGGCCCGGCCTCACCCACGACCCGGCAGTCACCGACGCGCAAAGGAGGTCCTCGTCCATTTTTTTCGTCGTCCATCTCTGCGGGCGAGGAAGTCCTCTCCTCCTTATTTGAGCCACTGTGTCCCCCACCACGATTTCTATGTACCGATGATCCGAGCTCTCGTAAGGGGCCACTCTCCATACGTCTCGGGCGGCTGCAGCAGGGTTAGCGAACGAAACGTTTACAATCGACTCGCCCTGCACCCTTACGCAAGTGCTTACCCCACCGGTATTGAGGCAGCACATACCGGTTGCGCTAGCCCAGTTTCGAAGACACCTGCCTTTAGTGTCCGTTCCAGCTGAGCCCCACAGGTCCGTCTTTGCGTTGAAATCGCCAGCCACAAGGACTATCCCGGTCTGGAATCTTCCGACGCAGCGCTCAATCTCTTCCAAGGTTTGTCCGAATTGAGCTACGTCCAGACTGGGGGATAGGTAGACCCCAATTAGCACCATATCCCCCCATCTGACCGCGACAAAATTATCACCCTTTTCCAACGGCATAGAGGGCAGCGGGTTTTCCACCCTTCTCCAGGTGATGGCCACTGTCCTCCTGTCATTCGCCGTCCAATTTGTGTTGTTATCTGGGACCCAGTAGGGTTTCGAGACAATCGCCATCGTGTAATCATTCTCCGCCATGATCTGAAGTAGCATATTGTGTCCATCGCAGGAATGATTAATGTTCGCCTGTAGTATCTTATTAGGCATCTAAGTTGCTATCAGATGTTCCTTCTTTGTGTTTCCCACATAGCGCATCCTTGTTCACTCGGGACTGCGGGTCCTCCCAACTTTGCCCATCCTGCACTCACTCGAGTGGATGGCTGTCCGAGGGGGCCTCCTCCTCCAAAGGCTCCACCTCCATTGTCATTTGTGCATTCCTTGTTTCCTCTGAGCATGGCGCATTTCCGGCCGTCTGGGGTTTCGGGCCCGCAGCTTTAGTGCTATCCTCCCCCGTTGTATTCGGGGGAGCGTCTTGGTCATCCAATTTTTCAGTTGGAGTACGTTGTTTTCTTGTGGAAGGAAGCTTTGCTCCCCATCCTATGATATTTTGCGTATCAGCTCCTTCTTAGTCGTGGACTCTTCGATATCCTCTATCCTGATTTCAACCATCTTCTCGGGTCTCGAAATCAGGACCTCTTCCTGCCCCGCCATGACTTCTCTCAATTTTCCGGCGAGCACGTCCGCCTTGACTGCTCCTTTCGCTCCCGGGATCTCCAGAAGAAAGGCCCCCGTACGCGCTCTTCTGAAACGTATATCGGTAATCCCGATTTCATCAATATCAATTTGCTGCTTGGCAATTTTCATTACCTTAGCATATTTCCTTTCGCCCCCGCAGTTGATTTGAACAGCGGCTGTACGGGGCATCCGTCTATTTGCCACTGGGGCTTTAGCCCCGGTATTAGGGCCTCTCTCGCCATCCTTGGGCCTCCGCTGGTTCGTAGGACCTTCTTTTGGGGACTGCCTCTGCTCCCTTTTCTGCTTTCTGCCCACCACTTGGGATCAGGTATCTTCCCTGGTCTTGGTGTTCTCCTGGGCTGGGCGTTCGCGACTCGGTCCCAACGTTTCACTGTCTACTACTAGTATTCGTTGCCTTCCCTTTTTTTTGCTAGCGGGTCCTGTCCCCTCCTTCTCGCTTCTCGGACAAGCCTCCTGGCTCGCTCCGACCGGCTTCTGTGGAATCAGGATTGGAATTCCTCTTGCCTTATCCAATTCCTGGGCGACGATCTCGCGGATCATATCCGCGAGCGCTCGCGGAGTAGCTCCTCTGGGGCCCTTCGCGAGCCTGTCTAAATTCTTCTTCTTCGTCTTCCACTTGTCCGTATTCATCGGCATGAGCTTTTCCTGCACTATTTTATACTTGATCCCTTCCGCCGGCCTATCCTCCAGGATTCGGCATCTTCCCTGGAGCGGTGGTCTGATCGCGGGTGGCCATTCCTCGGGAGGGGGGAGAACCACTTTCTCACTCGGCTCCCGACTATCCGCTTCGTCCACCTCCATACTCGTGTCTGGTGTGATGGTTCCTTCCTCCCTACGTTTCCTTGCCTCGGTTAGTCGGAGTCTTTTCTTCGAGCTAACTATCTTGCCTTCTTTAAGGGAGGAGGTCTGTTTGACCGCCTTTCTTTTTGGTTTCTCCCTTTTGAGTTTGCTCAATTCGGTATGCTTCCGCTTTACCCTCCGCTTCCAGGGCCTTTCTTCTTTCCTTCTCGACTTCATTCTCCAATCTCTTTCTAAAAGAGGAGATTTCTCTTTTTAGCGCTCTAATCTCCTCGGCGCTAGTACCTTCCTGATTTTTGGTGGCCCTTTCCTTAAAGACTTCCATACAGCTCATGGAGGTGGCTGCCGCAATCTTGAGGGATTTTTGGTAGGTTCCTTTCAGATTTGAAGAGGTTCTTGAGATACGAATCACCTCCATTAGGCATTCCGTGACTTTTTTAGCCAGTCCTCGTTCGTATCATCCTCCATATCATCCTTAATCCTTTCCAGGTCTATTTTGGATTTTTTAAACAGATCCTCCTTTCCTAGACCCCTGACGAGTGCTTTCCTGTCTAATTGGATGCCTCTCTCCTTTTCCTCATTCGCCATTCTCATGGCTTCTGCACGCCCAGCATATAACCCAGTTGTTTGATAGGACCTAGTGACTCTCTTCTTTCTAGGGGATGGGTTCACCGAGTCCATACCACCCTTCTTCTCCGGGGGCTCATTCGAGTCCCTCCTTGCGCTGGCCGTGTCCTCGTCAGAAGTTATTACAATGGATGTCGAGGCCTTACTCCTCTTCACCCTTCCTCCTCGTACTCGTGTAGGCTCCTTCCGGACCACTCCTCCTCTAGATGACACCGAGGAGGCGCACACGTCTCCTCAAAGTCTTCAGCGTCTCCGCATCCACTCTGGGCACTAGTCTCACTCGAGGGGAATGCTCGGACCCTCTCCGCGAGCCCGCAAGATCCTCTTGACGAGACCGACTGGCTGTCCTCTCCCGTCTGCAGAGGGCACAGATGGTTCAGTCCTGCTCGACGTTGTCTCTTCCTGGGTCTTTTCCTCTTGTTTATGCTCAGGAAGCGGCATGTACGTCCCCTTTGAGCACCTGGGTCCCGGCCTACTTCCCGAGGGAAGGTGCAACGACTGTTCCGATTGACCGGACAGGCCCGGTGGGGGAGAGTCACCCCCCTTCCATCCTTTGATGCGCAACACTTCCCCGCTTCTTCTATCCTTGAGTCGGTGTTCCACCTCCTCCGATTCTGCGAACATCATTGTACGGTCTTCTGCCGGAATCATCCACAGTCCCAGGGCGTAATCCCCGTCTTTATCCGCAAAGGTCGTATCATAATACGGATCTTCCTCATCTTCGGAGCTTGTCTCCGAATATCCTCCCTTTCGGACGAAGAAGCTCCTCTCCTTTGCTCCATCCTGTTTCTGGTCTTGGTTTTCATTATATTGTCTACTCATTTTGGTTCGTCCCCAACCCCGCAGCGGCTCCGCCAGCCAGGGTGTACCTTCACCCCTCCCCAGG